CAATGAAAGCTATTTATTTGGTTTTTTTACAAAAGTAAAGATTTTCGGCTTGCACTGTGATTTTCAAGTATTGGTGTATCCTCCCTTATGAAGGTCATGATCACACAATAACTGGAATCCTTCTCCTCCTTCTTCAGTACTTCAGGCATACAACTGGACTTAGGACACATCGAAGCCTGATCCCAATATATAAATTAATTATTTAATGTAGGTTTGATAAGCTGCAAGGACTTCCAAAGTCTTCTAATGAGCAAAGGTAAAATGAATAATTTTAAGATAAACGGATGATATCCGACTATTTGTTTTGTCCCAGGTTGACTGGCAAGAAGGGAAATAAGGAGTGACACATACCATGCTTGCCTCATTGTAGGCTAAATAGAGAATCAAATGACACAAAGGCAGGAGAATAAATGATAGCCATAGTGACTAGGTTTCTAAACTACCGATAGATCTTGAATAAGATTGTTATTCAACCTAGGCTGCACAAGTTTATGAATAACTAACAATTTAACTTTCACGTAATAATATAAGTAAGACTCACGTTTTCATTGAATTTCACATAGCCTGGCTTCCCTAAAGGCATTCTCATCCAGGATGGATTGCAGTTTCGACCTCGTCTAGGGCTTATCAACACCCTCGAAGGGAATTGAAACCAAACAGTGTAGCGCATAATCTCAATACGTTAACCACTACGTCACATTGCCACGGGTGCCCTTGGGCCACATAACAGATGTGAAATTTGCTATCCCATATTTTGTGGTGGGATTGTAGATAAAGCAAAGTTGCATTTGCCATAGAACTCGACTACATTTACACTATTAATTTAAAGGCTATGCGAAATGTGTTGGAAACGTAAGGTCTACTCCTAGTATTGTGGGAAAATTCAACTATTATTTGCATTAACACCTAAAATGAAATTGGATGAATACACTGCATATATAAGTTAGCTCTCATCGTCTGCCACAAGCTTTTTTAGCATTCATACTATAGGCTGGGTCTAAGAATGGCAAGATTCACCGACGATGCCGACTTCGATGCTTGCGAAACGTTCGGAGATGTACCACGACCAAACTTTGATGCGGAAACTATCATACCTAACGTAGCAGAGGACTTCGGATCAAGTAGGTTTAACTAAATAGCCCTAAAAATATGAAAAATTGCGAAAACGAGGCCAAACCCCTTTCTATAGCGAAAGAAAACTGCCACATCATCTTGGTATTCATACCTACGATCGAAATATTGCACGATTATTCTATTTCATGCTCTTGGTGGCTTGTGTATGCTAGAAAAAGATAATTTAAATGATTTCTTAAGCCTTAGGGCGATCTTTTATGTATAGCTGTAAAGTAAATTATGAGGAAAACCTGCGTGCGTAGCTTTCGAAAACTTATGTCTTGTACACCTATCTCCTTCTTTACCCAATCAGACAGGAAGAGGGGATTATATAAGAGGTATTCACGCAATTTTGTTTAAGGTGATGAATGAGTGGTATTAAAATTTTCCCACAGTGATATGAATAGAGGTGACGTTTCCATTGAATTTAAGATAGCCTTACTTCCTCAAAAATTATTTTAATTCAGAGTGGACTGCAAATTCGAGCTCGCCTAGGTTTTATCAACACCTCGAGCTGAGTGTTGTGAATTTGGCCCGTAAACCACTCAGCCAAATCACCACGATTGTACTTGTATCACAGGCCAGATGTGAATTTCAAGGAAGGTCAAGCCTTTTCCAATATCAAATTCTTTGGAGGGATTGTTGATAAATAAAACAATCGACTAAATTACTTATTTTTCGTATATAAGTAGAGTTTCGAGAATACCAGTAAATCAGTTATATGAGGTTTATTCAACCTATTCGTTTAAGGTGACGAAGGACTGGTAGTAGGCTATGTGAAATTCAATGGAAACATCAGTTATATTCATATCATTGTGGGAAAATTGTACTACCATTCCTTCATCACCTTAAACGAAATAGGGCGAATCCATGTGATATTTCAACACATTGACCTCGTACTCTCTCACTAAGCTCCTTCTGACATTGCTACAAACACCTTAAACCCTATTTCGTTTAAGGTGATGAAGGACTGGTATTAGAAATTTCCCACAAAGATATCACTGGAGCTGACATTGCATTTAACATAGCCTTGCCTTCCCAAAAGTGGACTGCAGTTTCTACCTCGCATCGGTCTTATCAACACCCCCAGCGGGAGTCGAACCGTGACAGGGCAGAATAGGAGCTTGACACGAGGGCTCTTGGGTCACAAGGCAGATGTGAATTTAAAGGAAGGTCAGGCCTTTTCCCATATCACATTCTCTGGTGGGATTGTCGATCGACAATCGACAACATTACTTAGTTTTCGTATAAAAGCAGAGTTTTAAGACTACCAATAAATCTGTTATATGGAAGCCATGTTGATAAAACCTAGGCGAGATCGAAACCGCAATCTATTCTGGATGAGAACAGCTTTTTGGAAAGCAAGGCTATGTGAAATGTAATGGAAATGTCAGTTTCACTAATATCATTGTCGAAAAATTCTACTACCAATCCTTCAGCATCTTAAATGAAATGTGGTGATTACATCTCATATTACTGATTTCCTGGTAGTCTCGAAACTCTACTTGGATACGAAAAATCAAGAAAGCGTAACTTATCCTCCATTTCCAATATGATAGAACAATCGAATAATTCTCTTTAACCTATTGATAGAATCAAGGAAGAATTGGAATCCCACTGGCTCACCCGGTCTCACGGCCCTCCAGCCCATCACCGGCCGGCCTACCCTTCTCTCCTGGACCCTGTTGACTGGTCGTCTTTGCCAGTGCACTTTTGCCCGGCTGTACAAAAGGTCGGTTGCCAAGAGGCTCCGGAAGGGTATGCGTTTTGAGCAGTCCCTTCCGCTTGTTTGGCTCCGAGTTGGCCGAATTTGCGGGATCTTGTGACGAAAACCTCGTGAATCGCTTGAGGGCCGGTTTGACAAGACGAACCCGGCTGGTCACGGGACTATTAACCATCTTTTCTGAAGTGGCCCGTGACAAAAAGCTGCCAGTCTCGCCCTTTCCCAGACCAGCCAAGCATGCCTCGGGGGTCGTGGGTCCGGCCAGAGACTGGGATGATTCGGCCGACCTCGTCACGATGCCGGTCGTGGAAAGAGCCCTCGAAGTGGTCGCACTCGACGCACGAGTTGGTCGTTTCGTCTGTCCATAAGACGCGCTCAACTGAGAGCATTGGGCAGATGTGATTCGAGAGTAGAGCTGGGACATTCGGCGATCTCCACCGAAACCATGACTCGGTCTCGTTCGACTGAGGCAGCGGGAGTCAGAGGCGCCGGCCGAATAGGGCAAAGCTGGAGCCCGTTTTGCCTCGTCCACATGACGCTTCTGAGAGGTGACCTCGTCGTCAGGGCAGAGGATGCGGTCTCGATCGAGGTTGGCCAGAGACTTGACGGACGCTCGCAGACCTGGCAACTGTCCCTTCTCCTGATTCGTCCGCCAGGCATGCTGTTGCCGAAGCTGGAGCATCACGGATCTATCCAGACTGCCGCCGATGGGAGTGAACAAATGGCGCTTATGCACAGTCGGACAGAGATCGTCGGATAGAGTTGGTTGTAATTCGCAGCCGGCGTCTGAGTCCCTCGGGGCTCGGATGAAATGGCCGGCGGGAGAAGTGATACCGAAAAATTGGCCGTCCACAGCAGCCACCCGCTCGGACGTCTGTTGCCAAGAGGCGGGACAACCGGCTGGTGAGTCCGAGTTGGTTGGGCCGGTGCAGAACATTCGGTTCCTAAGCGCCGTAAGCAACGGTGAGGCGGCGGGGTCCAGGTAGTCGAGAGATCGTGTGGTACCAACTGAGGCGACTGAAGCGACCGAAACGTTGTAACGGCTCGGCGTGGGCTTTTCGTCTTCATCAGGTCGTCCGGATGGGCAGGAATTAGTCAGACCGGAGCGCTCTTCACGTTGGTACTCGGAGCCGGAGACCGGGAGACCGGGCTCGAGTCCTCTCACGGCTCGGTTGTGCATGTCTTGGTAGATCGACTCGAGTCGGGCGGAAATCACCGTGGCCTTGGCAGGACCCATATCACCTCGGAGGCCTGGCGTCGAGCATGTGTCGGGACACTCTAGCCCTGGCGACTGAGGCAACACGGAGGCCGCTTGTCGTTGCTGTCGGTGCCTAAGACCGATTTGCCCGAGGCAAGTTGGTCCACCGGCCAGCAGGTGGAAAGAGTCTCCGGGAGGCGTGGAACATGGTCGTGGAAACGGGGGCGCTGGAGGAGGCGGCGGAGATGGACACAGTCCCAGAGGCATTTCAAGGACTGGCAGCTGAAATGACATGTTCAAGAAGAGAATTAGGTAGGACTATTAATTTGCCCTCCGTTGCAATTGGGCTTTAAGGCTGTCAGATCTTAATGAATATGAACTTTATCTAACAACCCCTATTTACTTAGAAGATAGGCAAAACTTTTATGACATGACTTCCAAGTTCGAAGAAAAAGTTGGTTGGAATAATTTCGTGATATGCTATAACCGGAAAACACACCATCTTGGTCTTCATACATTTGATGAAACTTTGTTAGGCTTCCGTCTGTCCCGTCGTGACGGACATTGTCAGAACCAGAAGCGATTATCTGTGAAAAATGCAACAAATACAATGAGTCAAGAAAGCACTGATGGCCCGGAGCAATCCCGCTCATTTATATGCATAAGTTTGTGATTATAATGGGGAATCCTACAATTTGGTAGGATATTTAATGCACAACATGCATTCTTGTTGATGGAGGAGATTGATGCATAAAAAGGAAGTAGAGCTAGAGCCAGCTTTTTCATTTGTAAAATTACCAAACATTGCGTATTTTGTGTGTGCAAGTAAAAATCATATAAAGTGTGAAAGTCTTAATCAGACTCGAATCTATTCAAACCTCTTCTAACTCAGCGGTTCTGCTTAGTCCCTCCTTCCTGACTCTCTTTAAGTCTGTCAAACAGCCACAAATAGTTCCAACTCAATTTCCTACACTCATTTCTCCCGTTCAGGATGTTGACTGTATGATTTATATCTATAGGCTCTTTAAGATTACGCTCTCATACAGGGTGGACTACAGTTTCGACCTCGCCTAGGTCTTATCAACACTCCCAGTGGGACTTGAACCATGACAGTGCAACGTATTACCTCGACACGCTAAGCTCTTTACACTTTATATATATTCATGATCTTCTGGAAGTCATGAAAGGATACTTATACAAATGAAAAATATGCAACGTAGTTGATTGCTATAGCAAATACAACTTT